GAAGATGGCGAAAGCAACTAGTGGAGAGGCTATTCTGGATTTGATGCTGACGCATAGGAAGGAACTGGTTGAGAATTTAAAGGTGAAAGGCAGCTTGGTTGAAACTGATCATGAAATGATCGAGTTCACGATTCTTAGAAATGGCAGGAGGGAAAACAGCAAAATAAAGATAATGGACTTCAAAAAGGCAGACTTTAGCACACTCAGAGAATTGGTAGATAGACTTGCTTGCCACAGGATCTCAAGCGAAAAAAGTGTTCAAGAGAGTTGTTAGTTTTTCAGAGACATTATTAAAAGCGCACAAGAGCAAACCATCCCCATGAACTAGGTCAGATTATGAAGGATGATATTTTTATTCATATATATAATAACACACACAGAGAAGCATGAAAGGGTCGCAGGAAAATATTTTATGAATACACGAGAAGCAAGAGGAAGATCAAGGACAGGGCAAGTCCATTACTTAATGAGGAGGGAAGGACAATAGCAGAAAACGCAACAATGGCCGAAGAGTTTTAAATGCCTTTTTTGTTTCAGTTTTCATCAAAAAGGTTAGCAGTGATCAGACTAACATAGTGAACAGCTGTGTAAATGGGGTAGGATCTGAGGCTAAAATAGGGAACAAACAAGTTAAGAATGACTTAGACAAGTTAGATGTCTTCAGGTAGGCTGTGACTGATGAAATACATCGTAGAATACTTAAGGAATTGACTGAAGAGATCTCTGAGCGATTAGTGATTATCTTCGAGAATTCATGGAGGACAAGAGAGATTCCAGAGGACTGGAAAAGGACAAACCTAATACCTATCTTTAGAAAGGGGAATAAGGACAACCCAGGGAATTATATACCAGTCAGCTTAACTTTGGGACCCAGAAAGATATTGGAGCAAATAATCAATTTGTAAGCACCTAGAAGATAAGGTGATAAGTAACACTCACCATGGATTTGTCAAGAACAAATTGTGTCAAACCAACCTAATATCCTTCTTTGACAGCACAACAAGCCTTGTGGATGTAGGGAAGCGGTAGATGTGGTATATCTCCACTTTGGTAAGGCTTCTGATATTGTCTCACATGATCTTCTCATCAGCAGACTAGGCAAAGAGAGCCTATTCTACGGTGGATGCACAACTGGTTGGAAAGCCACACTCAGTTTTTTTAATCTATTGGTTCACCATCAAACTGGAAGGGCATATCATGTGGGGTCCTGCAGGGATCTGTCCTTGGTCCGGTACTATTCCATATTTTCATTAATGACTTGAGTAATGGAGTGGAGAATGGACTTATAAAATTTGCAGATGACCCCAAGCTGAGAGGGATTGCAAGCACTTTGAAGGACAAGATTAGAATTCAAAATGATCTTGACAAACTGGAGAAATGGTCAGAAATAAATAGGATAGAGTTCAATAAGGACAAATGCAAAATACTATGCTTAGGAAGAAGTAATCGACTGCAGAAATACAAAATGGGAAATGACTGCCTAGGAAGGAGCTGAGGGAGTGGATCACAAACTTAACAGCGTATACACGATCCTGTATGTTATACAGCTGCAAAAAAAAAGCGAACGTCATTGTGGGATGTATTAGCAGGAGTGTTGTAAGCCAGAGCCGAGAGTAATTCTTCTTCTCTACTCCGCACTGGCATGGCCTCAGCTGGAGTATTGTGTCCAGTTCTGGGCGCCTCACTTCAGGAAAGATATGGACAAATTGGAGAGCTACAAAAATGAGGAAAGGTATAAAAAACATGACTTACGAGGAAAGATTAAAAAACATGGGTTTGTTTAGTCTGGGGAAAAGACTGACAGGCATAATAACAGTCAAAGATTGTTATAAAAAGGAGGGTTATAAATTGTTCTCCTTATCCGCTGAGGGCAAGCTTAAATTGCAGCAAGGGATACCTAGGTTGGACATTAGGAAATATTTCTTAACTGTAAGGGTAGTTAAGCTCTGGAACAAATTACCTGGGGAGGTTGTGGAATGAATGTCATTGGAGGTTTTAAAGAACATGTTAGACACACACCTGTCAGGGATGGTCTAGAATTATAATACTTAGTACTGCCTTAGTGCAGAGGACTGGGCTAATGACCTCTCGAGGTCCTACATTTCTACGATTCTTTCCTTTATGAAATCCCTTTTCCCTGGCTTGTGGCCCAGCCTGCTGGACAACGAGGCCATCGTCCCGTCAACACAAGTTTTTGTGGTTTTAACTCCCTCTACCTGTATTACCAACGAGAGAGGCAGCGTGGTCTAGAGGCTGAAGCGGAGGATTGGCTGTCGGTACACTTGCCCTGTCTGAGACGCTGATTCACACTCTGGCTTTGGGAAAGTCATTTCCCCTCTTTCTGCTCTAGTTAGCTCATCTGTAAAACGTGGGTGACGATATTGACCTACATACTTCTCCAGGGTCTTCTATGGATTAATTACTGTGTGCACAATGCTTTGAATGTGTACATTTCTAGGAATTATTAAAATAGCTATGATTAAACCAAAAAGTATTTTAAAACCCTAGGCCAAAGTTATCAAATGGAGTTACAGGTGCTCCACCCTTCTACAAATCAGGGTATGGGTTTGGTGCCTAAGTTTAGGCTAATTAATATAACAGGTTTTCACATTCTTATGTTCAGTGCAGGGTTATTTAAACCCAATTTCATTTAAATATTTGTTTCTTTTGATACTGTCTCCCATGACCTTCTTGTAAACAAACTAGAGAAATGCATCCTAGATGGAGCTACTATAAGGTTTGAAAACCGTTCCCATATTGTAGTTATCGGTGGTTCACAGTCATGCTGGAAGGCATAACGAGTGGGGTCCCGCAGGGATCAGTTCTTGGTCCGGTTCTGTTCAATATCTTCAGCAGTGATTTAGACAATGGCAGACAGAGTACACCTATAAAGTATGCGGACGATACCAAGCTGGGAGGGATTGTAAGTGCTTTGGAGGATAGGATTAAAATTCAAAATGATCTGGACAAACTGGAGAAAGGGTCTGAAGTAAATAGGATGAAATTCACTAAGGAAAAATGCAAAGTACTCCACTTAGGAAGGAACAATCAGTTGCACACATACAAAATGGGAAATGACTGCCTAGGAAGGAGTACTGCGGA